ATATATATATATATTTAAAAATTCACTAAATATGTTATAAAATTGAATTCAAAACCCCATTACTAACACTCTGTCACTATCCTAGAATTTAAAACCTATAAAATTCAAATCCTAGCACGGCCCTCTGTCACTAAATGTCTACATGTCAAATTCATGGCAAAGTTCTAAAACTGTAAATAAGGCATATGAGCAACAGAACTTAGAACTCGAAAGAAAAAAAAATTACCAGAAAAAGACAAATCCAGTTTGTCTTCTGAAGAAGAAGCATTTTCACTCAAAAGGCGGTCAATTCGCTCAGCAACAGAAGGTGGAACTCTCAGAATAAATTGTTCTTCCATGACTGCAGATAAATTAAGAGGAACCAAAGGGGCAAACTTTCAGATATAATGTCCTAAAATCAATATCAATATATTATTTAATGACTTACCTAAAATCAGAAATTGGTGGAGTGGAATCCAGGAAGCGCGAATTGGCACCGTTAGGGCTTTTTTATTGGACGAACATGCAGTCTAGAACTGGTATTTTACCTTTGCTGAAGCCCAGAACTGGTGTTTGATGTTGAAGCTCCGAAATGGAGTTCCACCGCCGAATATGGCGAAGTTACTCGGAAGGGGCGAGGAGATGGGTTGTGAGAGCGGAGGAAGGGGAAAACGTCCTTTACTTCTAGTCAGGATATTTATATGACACATTTATATTAGTCGAATTACATAAATGCCATTTGTCATTTGCGGTATATAAATCGGATCAGCAGTTTCGCAAATTACAATACCGATATAAGTTGTGTTTATCAATTGCGATATATAGTCGCAATTGCCAATTTGTCGCTCGATATATAAGTCGTATTTGTCAATTGCGATATGTGAGTTGTAATGTAAAAGTCATTCAATAAATTCGATTATAGATGTGATTTATACGTGACATTCCCAAATGCAATTTGCTCTGTTTACTACACCCTTGAAATTTGGAGCCCAATGCATACATTTGGGGACAGAATTCCATATAATATGTCACCTGCGACCAGTTTGAATTGATCAAAACAATTTTAAGAGCATATTTTTCGGTAAACTAGTTCACCTCTTTTGAAGCTTGGGTTGGGTTGGTATATTAAAGCTTGATTGTAATGTTGGCAAACTGACTAGTGTTTTGATTTAACTTTAATACTAGAAACTAATAATAATATCCTCTTAAAATTGTTTGAATCAACAACAATAACGGCCCACTGTAATCTCACAAGTGGGATCTGGGAAGGGTAATATGTACGCAGACCTTACCCCTACCCGAGGGGCAGAGAGGCTGTTTTCAGGAGACCCTCGACTCAAGAAGGCGACAAAGAGACGATATATTAGTACCATCAATAGAATCCTAATAAAATAACAACAATATAAGAAATACAAAATAGATGGAAAGTACAACAATAACCAGCAGATAAAGCCCTGCATTAGTAGATAACCACTAACATCCTAAAACTATTTCTAACTGGCTAGTCTCACTCTGGTGCGCCGTAGAAATATTCACAACTTCCTCCTAACCTACAACCTTAATGCTCGACCTCCACAATTCTCTGTCAAGGGCCATGTCCTCAGTAATCCTAAGTTGTGTCATGTCCTGCCTGATCACCTCTCCCCAATACTTCTTGGGCCGCCCTCTACCTCTCCTCGTGCCCACCACAGCCAGTCGCTCACACCTCCTCACTGGTGCATTAGTGTTCCTCCTATGAATGTGCCCGAAACATCTCAGTCTTGCTTCCCGCATCTTGTCCTTCATGGGGGCCATGAAAGATTGCATATAGGTGTTCGTAACACGCAGCGGAAGACAATAACAATCCTAGGCAGATCTTTTTGTGTTTAAAATTTATTTACATGTCAAATATCGAATCTAAGACGTACCTGTCACGACCCCAAACCCGGACCCGATCGTGATGGCGCCTCTCGTGAAGACAAGGCCAGCCGACACATTTCCGATTCAGTTTTAAGCAATTAAACAATAAGCATTTAGTCTTAAACATGATATAAATCCAAAAGTAAGCAGTGACAATAATAAACAATTTACGAAATACAATCTAACACAGCCCGATACCGGGGTGTCACTAGTCATGAGCATCTATCAGTACGCTACAAGTATGGAATGCCTAATAAACCATTACCGAATAACTGATAAAGAGATAGAAATGAGATAAAAGGGGGAGAAACACGGGACTGCGGACGCCAAGCAGCTACCTCGTGGACTCCGAAGCCTGCCGGGAGCTCTCAACTCACGCTAGCAGGATCAACAACGCCTGAATCTGCACACAGGGTGCAGGGAGTAAAGTGAGTACTCCAACTCAGTGAGTAATAATCATAAATAAACGACTGAGAGATATGAAAACACGTAAGTCACATTACAAGCTATAATGAAGCAGTAAAACCAGTAGAAACAGTAAATCAGTGAAGATATGTAAAGTCATTTAGTTCAGTTTAAATTTCAAGAAATGTCTTTTTAACAATTAAGCAGATAAATGACAGGCAATAAGAAAGATAAACACATAAAGGATCGTCCCTCGGACAAGATCATAGAACAACACCAGCCCATCGGGCTATCTCTCACATCACAATGGGTACCCGCGTTTATTGGGGGTGTGCAGACTCCTGGAGGGGACCCTTACGGCCCAAGCGCAATATCAAGCCATCTCTTGACATCATCACTAGGCCATCGGCCTCATATCAACAAGTCATCTCGTGATGTATAAATCTCAGGCCCTCGACCTCATAATCATAATCAGTGTTTCCTCACAACATAAGCCCTCGGCCTTGCTCAGTCAGAATCTCAAAGCCACTCGGGCAATAGTAAATATAGTGCTCAGCCCAAAATATCATATAAGTGTTAAAGCGAAGTAAACATGGCTGAGTTATGAAAAACAGTAGAATATAGCATGACTAAGTTCATGTACAAAGTCAAAACAGTGAGGAAATATCAATAAAAATTCCCTAAGGGTTCAAATAGTTGGCACCAGGCCCAAATATGACATTCAGCCCAAAACATGATGATAGCAAATAGTTTTCAATCAAATACGCGGTAAAATAGTCATTCGGGATGGATTAAGTCACAATCCTCAATAGTGAACGACCCCACGCTCGTCATCTAGCGTGCGCGTCACCTCAATATAGTACAACAATGTGCAATCCGGGGTTTCATACCCTCAGAACATTATTTACAATTATTACTCACCTCAATCCGGTCCAAACTCTAGCCCGTGATGCCTTTGCCTCTCGAATCGGCCTCCACTCGCGTCAAATCTATCCAAAATCAGAATCACGGCGTCAAAATATGCTAAGGGAACGAAGCCCAAGCGAAAATAATCAATTTACAACTTAAATCCCGAAATTACCAAAACCCGACCCCCGGGCCCACGTCTCGAAATTCGATAAAATTCACATCCATGGATTCCTTACCTCCCTACGAGTTCATACATATCAAAAGTACCAAAATTCGACCACAATGGTCCCTCAAATCCTCAAGTCTAGGCCTCCAATAACAAGCCCTAGTTTTCCCAATTTAACCCTTAAATTCCATTAATTATAGCTTTAATCTGTGAAATAATACCATAGGAACGAGTTTTAGGTCCAAAATCCTTACCTCAATGAAGTTCCCTTGAAATCCTTCTTCAAAATCGTCCAAAAAGCTCCAAAGCTGACTTAAAAATGGTGGAATAGCTTAAAATCGCGAAGGAAACAATTTATATGTTCTCGTCCAGGGATTTCGCATTTGCGGCCCAATTTCCGCTTCTGCGGTACTGCATTTGCAGTCAACAAACAGCTTCTGCAGTTTTCACTTAATTTACCAATATCGCATCTACGATGCACCAGCCGCACCTACGCCATCGCAGGTGCAGTTCACCAACCGCTTCTGCGGTCACAACCTTTCCAACCTATATTCGCTTCTGCGACCAATCGTCCGCATATGCGGCGTCGCACCTGTGGTCCCCAATCTGCAGGTGCAGAAACAACAGAAGCAGCAAATCTACAGCTTCACCAAAATTCCAAACTTCTCCGTCAACCATCCGAAATCACCCCGAGGCCCCCGGGACCTCAACCAAAAACACAAATATACCCCATAACCTTATTCAAACTTATACCAACCTTCAAAACACCTCAAACAACATCGAAACACATCGGATTCAAGCCTAAGATTCCAAAAATCTTTCGAATTCTGCTTTTGATCAAAGACCCAACCAAACCACGTACGAATGACCTGAAATTTTGCACATACATCCCAAATGACCCAACGGAACTACTACAACTCTCAGAATTCCATTCCGACTCCTATATCAAAATCTCGCCTATCAACCAGAAAACGCCAAAAATCCCATTTCGCCAATTCAAGCCTAAATCTACTCCGGACCTCCAAAACATATTCCGATCACACTCTTAAGTCCCAAATCACCTTCAAAAGCTATCTGAACCATCGGAACTCACATCCGAGCTCTCTAACACATAAGTCAACATCCAGTTGACTTTTCCAACTTAAGCTTCCTCAAAAGAGACTAAGTGTCTCAAACCTTACCAAATCCTTTTCGAACCTGAGCCAACCAATTCGATCATATATAGAACCGAAAGACAAAGCAATAAGAAGCAGAAATGGGGAAAATGGAGCGGTAACTCATGAGACGACTGGTCGGGTCGTCACATCCTCCCCAACTTAAACAAACGTTCGTTCTCGAACGAGTCAAGAAACATACCTGAAGCCTCAAACAGGTGAGGATATCTGCTATGCATCTCCCGCTCGGTCTCCTAGGTAGTCTCCTCCACAGGCTGACCTCTCCACTGCACTTTAACTGAAGCTATATCCTTTGATCTCAACTTCCAAACCTGATGCTCCAAAATAGTTATTGGCTCCACATCATAAGTCAAATCACCATCCAACTGAACCGTGTTGAAATCCAAAACATGAGATAGATCCTCAATATACTTCCGGAGCATAGAAACATGAAATATCGGATGCACACTCGACAAGCTGGGTGGCAAAGCAAGCTCATAAGCCACCTCCCCAATTCTCCGAAGCACCTTAAAAGGCCCAATGAATCGAGGACTCAATTTACCTTTATTCCCAAATCTCATAACACCCTTCATGGGTGAAACCTTCAACAGAACCTTCTCATCAACCATGTAGGACACATCCCGAACCTTCCTGTCAGCATAACTCTTTTGTCTCGACTATGCTGTATGAAGCCTCTCCTGAATCACCTACACCTTGTCTAAGGCATCCTGCGCCAAGTCTGTCCCCAATTGCCTAGCCTCACCCGGCTCAAACCAACCAATTGGAAATCTACACCGTCTCCCATACAATGCCTTATATGGAGCCATCTGAATATACGACTGGTAGCTATTGTTATAAGCAAACTCTACAAGTGGTAGAAACTGATCCCATGACCCTCCGAAATCAATGACACAAGCGCGCAACATGTCCTCCAATATCTAAATAGTGCACTCGGACTGCCCGTCCGTCTGAGGGTGAAAGGTTGTGCTCAACTCCACCTGAGTACTCAACTCTCGCTGCACAGACCTCCAAAACTGCAAAGTAAATTGTGTGCCCCTGTCTAAAATGATGGAAACTGGGACACCATGCAAATGAACAATCTCCAGGATATAGATCTCTACCAACCGCTCTAAAGAATAGGTAGTACACACAGGAAT